AACATGCGGGCTGATCCGCCAACCCGCTGACAAAAACCTATTAAAACCTATGATCCACTGCGAATCAATCCATGTTGCCCGTTTATTTACGGATTTAATATATTTTCCCAAATCTGTCCCATAGTGAGATGATTTGGGCTCGACCCACGGTTTTTGATCTATTTTGACTGCTCTAATTCCTATGAATAGTCTAATTTTTCTAAAACATAAAATTCCATTTTGTAATCATAATTAATATGATCGGTTTAATTATAAAAAATTTAACATTTTCTCTACAATTTGTTATTATGAATATTTATAAGTACACTACACGATTAACTCTACTTAAAACACGCACAATTAAAATCAACGTACGTAAATTAATATTCTCCCGCGGTGGACCGCGGGTCCGATCCTAGTACAATCTTAAAAACTATACAAAACAAACAACATTAATAAAACAAATACAACTTAAAAATTAAAAAATTTAGTTACAAAAATACAACTTTGTATTTTTAGGTCGTTTAAAAATCAATATTATAATATATCAAAATAAGTGTTAATCTTCTTTGACAGGTCTAAATGTGTAATTGTAATAAATTACATATGTTTAATAGGTTAAATCTAAAAACACCAAAAGTGGATTGATAAATATAATTTTAATACAAAATTATATATAAAAAAATAAAATATTATCTCGTGGGTCAAATTTTAGTATATATACAATTTGTAATTATTTATACTAGGTTATGAACCCCGCGATATCGCTGGGAACTCATTTTTCAACAAATATATTTTATTACGTTTATGTATTAAATTATTATTATAATATATTCAAATAATTGAATTATTATATAAAATTAACTATGTTTTAAAGTTATATCGTAAATATTTTCTAAAGACGTTAAAAAATTTTATGAATAAAAATGTAAAAAAAATTATGATTAAAAAACACTTTTGAAACATTTTTTGTGAATATAAAATTATTTATAAGTGACAAAATAACTAACGAAGAGTTATAATATAGAGAGGAAAAATTCTAGCGGGTTAAAACCAAAAAGATATAAAAACACAACCAGAAAAATAACCGTCAACACAAAATGTAACCGTCAATATTTTAACGAACAGTTGCGATAAAAAGACATAACCGAGAAAAAAATAACCGTCGATATTTTAACGGAAAGTTGCGATAAAAAACACAACCGAAAAAAATAACCGTCAATATTTTAACGAAAAGTTGCGATAAAAAGACACAACAAAAAAAGAAAATGTCAACATTTTTACGAAACGTTATGATAAAAAGACACATCAGAAAAAATAACTGTCAACGAAAAATGTAACCGTAAATATTTTAACAAAGAGTTGCGATAAAAAGACACAACCGAGAAAAAATAACAGTCAATATTTAAACGAAAAATTATGATAAAAAGACACAAACGGAAAAAAATAACCGTCAATATTTTAACAGAAATTTGCGATAGAAAGACACAACCGAGAAAAAGAAACTGTCGATATTTTAACGGAAAGATAAGATAAAAAGACAAAAACAAAAAAGAAATCGTCAATATTTTAACTGAAAGTTACGATAAAAAGACACAACCGAAAAAATAACCATCAATGAAAAATTGTAACCGTAAATATTTTAACAAAGAGCTAGGACAAAAAGATACAACCGAGAAAAAATAACCGTTAATATTTTAACGAAAAGTTGTGATAAAAATACAAAAACGAGAAAAGTAATGTTAATATTTTAACAGAAAGTTGCGATAAAAATACACAACCAAAAAAATAATCGTCAACGAAAAAAAGAACCATCAATATTTTAACGAAGAGTTGCAAAAAAAAGACACAACCGAGAAAAAATAACCGTCGAACTTTTAACGGAAAGTTGCGATAGAAAGACACAAACAAAAAAAAATGACCGTCAATATTTTAACGGAAAGTTACGATAAAAAAGGCACAACCGAAAAAATAACTGTAAACGAAAAAAGTAACCGTCAATATTTTAATGAAGAGTTGCGATAAAAAGATACAACCGAGAAAAAATAACTGTCAATATTTTAGCAAAGAATTGCGATAAAAAGACACAACCGAGAAAAAAATAACCGTCAATATTTTAACAGACAAAAAAAGACATAATCGAGAAAAAATATCGTCAATATTTTAACAAAAAGTTATGATAAAAAACAGAAACGAAAAAAGTAACCGTCAATATTTTAACGGAAAATTGCGAGAAAAAACACAACCAAAAAAATAACCGTCAACGAAAAAAGTAATCGTTAATATTTTAACTAAAAGTTGCGAGAAAAATACACAACCGAAAAATAACCGTCAACTAAAAAATTAACCGTCAATATTTTAACGAAGAGTTGCGATAAAAAGACACAACCGAGAAAAAATAACTGTCAACATTTTAACGGAAAATTGCGATAAAAAGACACAACCGAGAAAAAATAACCGTCAATATTTTAACGGAAAGCTGCGATAAAAAGACACAAACGAATAAAGTAACAACCAATATTTTAACGGAAAGTTGCAATAAAAAGACACAACCGAGAAAAACCCGTCAATATTTTAATGAAGAGTTGCGATAAAAAACACACTCGAAAAAATAACCGTTAATATTTTAACGGAAAGTTACGATAAAGAGACACAACCGTTCAGAAGTACAAAATGCATTTATTGAGGTTGTTATTTTGGTTAATAAAACCAATTTGATATGTACTCTAATGGTTGATGTAAAAAAACTTCGTAGTATTACTAACTATACAAAAAATGCAATGAAATTATATAATGGAAAGACATAACTTTAAATGAATAAATACAACTATAAAGATATAACGGTAAACTGAAAAGATACGACTGTAATTGAACAAATATAACCGTAAATAATCAACGAAAATTCAAAGAGAAAATTCAATAAATGATATAACCGTAAAAAAATAACCGATTTAAACGAAAGGGTGCGATAAAAAGACGCAACCATTCAGATGTGCAAATGGTATTTATTAGATTGCTATTATATATAGATTACACAGTTTTTTATTTATTATGATTGGTTGGTTGCATGGTTTAAAATGATACATTTGTAATAAAAAAAAAATCTAATATACATACTTATGCATTTTATCTTTTCTGACAATTTGTATTTTACAAAGCTGGAACATCTCACCGACTAAATTCAATTTCAGCGATGCCCGAGCATAAACCACTTCTCTCCGATGTAAATCGATTTCCGATTATCATTAGGTTGATACCCTGCGAGATTATTTCTCTTCTACGACGGCGGTATCCGACGCCGAGAGACGGTCTTGTCGTTTAGAGATTGGAAGAACGAAAAAGATTTGATCCGCTTGAAGAATCTCATCAGATTCGATCGCCGATGTTAAATCATCGTAGTAGAAAATAAGATTTCGTCAGCAAACCCTGTTCTCCTCTCCGGATCTTCAGCTGCGTGATCGGAGATGATGGAACCAGAGAATCATCTTAACTTCTTCCTATTTCGATCTCTTCCGTTTTCGTGGCTCACCGAATTTTGAATCATGGAAAGGTGGAATCTCATTAGCACCAGGACCTTCAGCTGATGATGTCTCTGATTACCTCGTCTTAGCAGCTCATAGAACCAAGAGACCTGACATTCTTAGAGCTTTTAAGCCTTACCATGGCGGCTGGAACATCACCAATAATCATTATTGGGCTGTAAGTCTCCTCTTCTTTGTCATCTCCGATTTTCTGTAGTTCTAGGATATGTTATTAATGGCCATCTATTTGCAGTCTGTTGGATTCACAGGTACTCCTGGTTTCATTCTAGCTGCTACTTGGCTCTTCAAATGGAGAGTATGTGATCGAAGACCCACAAAACCATCTTCAACGGCTAACTTCTTCATGTTTCATCGCCGCTGATTCCGAGACGAAAACACTACAAAACCCTAGTTCTGAACTTTGTTCTTCACTCGTACTCTTTGATTACAAGATGGCTGAGTCTGACAAGACCCACTAAACCCTAATTTACCATGTTCTCTGTCTTTGCGCCTAACGGAGAACACAAGCCGCAAGAGATGTGCTGTGGAGCAGAGGAAGCGTATTGGTGGACTCAAGAAAGCAAAGGTTGCTCCTTTCTCAGGGACGGCGAGAGAGACGCCTGAGTAGCTTGTCAAGGTGATAAGTGACATGAAAGAAGCAAAAGACGCTAAACTGATCTTTGAGAAGACTCTGTTCGTGACTGATGTAAACCCAACACAGAACAGAGTAGCTGTGGAATCCTCTGCTTTGCCATGGAACAGAGTAACTCTTCACTTGCTCTCTGTCTCTTCTAAGTTTATTGTGTCTGTTGAGACTATAACTAGGTTCATCAACTCGAACAGCGATCTAATTTCATGCCATTCTGGATATTGTTTGTCTAGTAACTTCTTGGAAGAGTTTGATTTAGAAAATTAGGATTCCTCTCTATTATTAGTAACTTGTTCCTTCTATTGTTTCAGATCATTATAATTGTATGTACTTAGCATTTTTGACATGAATCTGGTTTGTTGTTTGGTCTAACTTTAATTACTGCATTGTGACCTTTAGATTGCTTGTAATATATCTCAAAGTCTAATTTTGTGTGATGAAATTGATCCAATAGTGAAAGGGTTTTGGTACTCAATGAGATTCTGATGTTCAAACTCAGTATAAATAGCAGAATGAACAAAATTTGTTGCCTAGACAGGCTTTGGCCAAACCGTTTTGATACAATTACTTCTTTAGCCACTTTGACTTTGTCTAGAGAGATTTCTCTTACACATATCTATAAGATCTAGTTTTCTTGTCTAGAGAGATTGCATGTGCTCTCATGGATCTTGGAGAGTTATCTGCAAAAAGTTTGGCATTCTGTGACTTCTTTCTCCGATGTGACATTGAGAAATGCTTCAAGATATCCCAAGATACCCGGTAATGGAGGTTACAGTGATATAAAAAAAAAAGAGACAGATATCAAAAGTTTAAATGTACTTATATGTATCTTCTACCTGAGTAAGAGTCATTCAAAAATAATCAAGTTTATCGACCGGGTTAATCTTTGGCAAGGCTAAACCAGGCCCTTCAGCCATATCCAATGGTTCACCAGATACTTTGCGTAACTCAAAACCCTGAAGCAACCGAGCCAACACGATGTGAACAACTCTTAGATCTAGATTGATCCCTGGACACGACCTTCTTCCTGAAATGAATGGAATGTACTCAAAGTCGCCCTTTCCACATTGTGATTCCTCCTCCATGAACCTCTCAGGCTTAAAGGTTTTGGGGTCAGGCCAAATGATCATGGGATCCCTATGAAGTTTCCATATGTTTACGAGCAAGCGTATGCCTTTCTCAACACGGTATCCTCCCACGAAACAATCTTCACGTGCTTCGCGGATTCCTGATCATTCATCATTTTGTATAACCAAATAGGTTTAACATGTAGAATATTAATAAGGTCATGTACTAAGAATTAGAAAGACAATTAAGAAACTTTGATATGTGACTTGTAAGAGGAGCCCGCGGGTAAAGTCGGTGAGTTTCCTTAGCAATAGCTTGTAGGTAATTGAGGTTTCTTATATCGGATTCTTCAACCCATCTACCTTTCCCGACACAATTGTCAATCTCTTCTTGTGCTGCTTTTAAAGTAGCTGGATTGTTGAGTAGCAGCGATACTGCCCATGTAAGAGTGATGGATGTGCTGTCTGATCCCGTTAATGTAAGAACCTACAACAAGAAACAGAACATTCATGTTGGTAGACGTTCATTTCAAAACAAAATAGTAATGTGTGAGTTAAGTCATATTTATTTATATACTACATTAGTTCACAATTAAATTCTTTTTTGATTAAAATTTTAATCGTTTCTGACATCTGTTAATGTTGGAACGGTTCTGAATTACCGAACTATGCATTTACTTTACTTTTAGGATTTCATACTTGAGTACGGTTCCGATGGTTGTTGACTCGATCATACGGGAAGATGTAGCTGGATTTTCATATCCACGACTTGTTGCTTTGTAATTTTTTTAATTTTATTTAATAAATCCGGGAGATTTTCTCCCGGTGATTCACCAAAAAAAAATGTTGGAACGGTTCTGATATGGCATAAGACATCTCAAAATTTTGTGTCCAAGATTACCACATCCTTCACACTTAGAGGGTATCCAGTATACTCAACATCCCCTTGTTGGTCTTTAGCTGCAACCTTCTTAAGTTCAATCTCTACCATTGTCTTAGCTTATCGTATTTGCTTTAGGTCTAGCCTTGGTTTGTATGAGAGCATTGGTTCTCACACTCCAGAAGCTATCCATTTAAGAGCCTCGATGGAGTAAAGCGTGGGGGCCGGGTATGTTTTTTAGCGTTACCTACACTGAAAAAGTGGAAATTTCCGGTTATTCCTATGAGGAAGTAGGACTCCATGGAGCCATCAACATGTCATAAGCTTCTCTGAAGTTTTCAGGTACGAGTTGCGGAGGTGTTCCATCTTCCAAGTAAACTGGGTTGATTATGATTGTTAAGTTATTAAATGAGCATCAAACAGAAAAAATAAAAGAGAAAATAGAAAAACTATTCAGTATAATTTTTAGTTTTTGCTTTTTAAATCCATTATTTAACATTAATCAAAATTTTAACATTAGTTCCAGTTCAACCTGGTGATCCATTGAACCGAGAAATAATCCAACTTAATTAGTTGCAGTTTCTATATATATAATGTTACAGATGTAAACATAGTGCTAGGTTAAACAAAATAGTGCTAACCTAGTAAAAGTTCGTGGAAAAATCTATAAACTATAATGTGCATTTACATTGATAAATGAATTATATATGAGACCAAATAATTATAATTACAGCCACTAATCGAAAAATAAAGATATTAAACTCCTTCCACACAGTCCATTCGTTGGGATCACAGCAGCCACATGCTTCTGTACGTAACATCATAATAACAAAACGAATTTCTATGTATCTTATACGTGAACATCATTGAATTTTATATGTATTTCATACGCGTTATCATAATAAAACGAATTTTAACATCTTTGGATCTTTTTTTCTTCTCGTGCGTTATACATGCTTGGAAATTGATATGTATGAAATGTCAATTCAAATGTGAAACTTGCGATATATAAGGATGTCCACACGAATATAATCAAACTCAAAATATCTCCGACAATTTTAAGGACCCTCTTTGTAAGCTAGGGCCTAACCAAACCCCACAAAAGTGATGGTGTATTTGGCTCTTATCAATCATTAAGCTAGCTCCATAGCTAACTAATCTTAAACTCCTAGCAGAGCAGTACATATCACATGGAGTCTAACGATTATAAATTTGTCGAAATATAAAAGTGAAACTTGAATATAGTATTAATATTGGTGAAAGAAAAAATATAGTATTGGTGCTTTATCTGTTTTTTTAGATAATTAGTTGAGAGACATCAGATTTTGGGCTAATAAAATTTTCGGTATTATGCCAAATAGTCCAAGACATTGAAAATAATAAGTCCACTTTCTTTCCTATTTTAACCCCACATACATATGTCTGATTTTTGGATGTCTATTTTTTTCATGTTCATCTCTCTCTCAACTATGTTCTAATTCATTCAAACTGATAAGAAAAACAGCGTCATGTTTATTATTCACACCGACATTGTCTATTCATCGGAAAATATAACTTTCACGATATAAATAAGGTTTAAAACATTTGTTGGATCTTCACAAATAGATCTACTAAGTATAGATTCAGATCTCATGTTTATCTCTCTCAACTCTGTTCCAAATCATTCAAACCGATAAGAAAAATAGCGTCGTATTTATTATTCACACCGCCATCTGAAACATTTTTTGGATCTCCACAAATAGATCTACAAAGTATAGATGCAGATCTAAGGATATTTGTGGAGATGGGTCAGAGTGAAAAAGAAGAAAACGATGGAGCATAACCTATGCATAAAATCAATCGAAGCATGCTTTTTTCCTGGGAAAAAAGGTCGAATTTCAACAAAAATTCTCAATTAGTTAATGAGTTAATATGTATCTATAAGTTTAGATACATGTTCATATATTTTCATAGAGTCATATATCGAACTATAAGTACTACATTTATTAATAGATATCTACGCGATTAAGTTAGTGGTTTAAATTTTTGAATTTTCCTCCATATGTTTTTGTTATAGATTTAAATTAAAATTTAATAATTGTCACTTTATTCTATCTGTTGCCACGTGAAGGTCAATTCAATTGTTGATCATTTATTAAATGTCATATGTTTCTCTCCTCCCCACGCGCATTACGAAAACTGTGGCTAGTAATCTTGTAATTATTCGCAATTTCAAGGTCTATTCCAACCTCTATTTTTATGTCGTATACGATTCTCCATACTTATGTTGTTTTCTAAATTATATGCCCCAATAATGTCTCTGAGCAAATTCACTCTTTTTTTTTGTGGTGGCTGAATTGTTTGTTTAATATTTTCCCATCAAAGAGAGGTTGTGAACTTGTGATACTTACGCAACATTTTTATGATATTTATAATAATATAGTAAACGAAAGCTACATTACCTCATAGATCAAACCATACTTCTATATATATACGCGTAAAAGAAAGCTACATTCTCATTACATACCCCAAACAAAATAATCACCTTAGGGTTTATCAAAAAAAATAATAATAATAATAATCACCATGTTCATTTTCTTTAGTACTCTCCAATTTTCTCTCTTCTCTTTGGCCCTTGTAATCGCCGGTTACATTTTCCTCGGAAAAAAATTGAGTAAAGGTGAAGTTGATAGCTCCACCATCCCTGAGCCATTAGAAGCTTTGCCTCTATTCGGCCACCTCCATCTATTGCGCGGCAAAGAACTCATTTGCAAGAAACTAGCTGCCATGTCCGAAAAACATGGTCCTATCTTCTCCCTCAAGTTAGGGTTTTATAGGCTGGTTGTAGCCAGCGACCCAAAAACGGTGAAAGATTGTTTCACCAACAACGACATGGCTCTAGCAACCAGACCCAATATAGCCTTTGGTCGGTACGTAGGCTACAACAATGCAAGTCTAACACTGGCTCCCTATGGAGACTATTGGCGTGAGTTACGTAAGATTGCCACCGTCCATCTATTCTCAAACCAGAGTATAGAGATGCTTGGTCACATTCGTTCTTCAGAAGTAAACACGTTGATCAAACACCTATACAAAGGGAGTGGTGGAACTTCTATAGTGAAGATTGACATGTTATTCGAGTTTTTGACCTTCAATATAATCCTTAGGAAGATGGTGGGGAAGAGGATTGGTTTCGGTGAAGTGAATAGCGAGGAATGGCGTTATAAGGAGGCGCTGAAGCATAGCGAGTACTTGGCCGTGATTCCTATGATAGGCGACGTTATTCCATGGCTAGGATGGTTGGATTTTGCAAAAATTTCTCAAATGAAGAGATTATTTATGGAGCTTGACTCAGTCAACACCAAGTGGCTCCAAGAACATCTCAAGAAGAGATCAAGAAATGAGAAGGATCAAGAAAGAACAATCATGGATCTACTACTCGACATCTTACCAGAAGATATTGTGATAAGTGGACATGTACGCGATGTCATTGTGAAGGCAACAATTTTGGTATGCATATTTTCACTATACTCCCATTAATTTTGATATATGTTAGATAATCTCACAAACAATTAATTATGAACTAAGAGCATTCCCAACCTAAGAACTCTTCTCAATTTTTTTTATCTATATTAATTTAATTATTTCAATATAATTTAATTATCCCTTATATATTAATTGAGAAACATTTTTTAAAAATAATCTTATCTTTATGTGTGATTAACAAAAATGTCATGCTGACGTGTCGTTCTCACATGGCTTCTCAATCTATTTAATTAAAAACCTAACATTTATTAAGATATTTACAAATTTTGCCATTAATTTTATTTATATTTATTTTTTCCACTTAATTTATGTTTTTTTTATTTTACTCAATTAATTAAAACGAAAATACAATTAATTAAAACGAAAATACAATTAAAATATGCAATTAATATATACAAATCTATACAAAATGGAGTACCTAATATTTTGTATATTGATTAATATATCAAGATATATATCATAAATTATGATAAACATAAATGAAAATTTCACTAATCTTGATAATCATTAATATACCACTGTTTATCTATCTAATAATATAAAAATCGAACACCTTCAATATCATTAATATATTAAAATTGGTTAATAATTGTTTTATCCCGCATATAGTGTTGGTTGTTATCTAGTTTTTGATTATATATAAAGAAATTGACCAGCTATATAATGTCACATGTCACATGTTTCCTTCTTTTCCTTCTCTCTTATGTTTCTATTACTTTTTATTATTTAATCTTAAGAACCTCAGTTAGAAATCACCGTTGGAGGTGCTCTGGTATACGAGAAATATGATTTAATTCACTCATGGTTTGAAATGAAAGTCTACTAACATAAATGTTCGGTTTCTTGTTGTAGGCTCTCACATTAACGGGATCAGACAGCACATCCATCACTTTGACATGGGCAGTATCGCTACTACTCAACAATCCTGCTACTTTAAAAGCAGCACAAGAAGAAATTGACAATTGTGTCGGGAAAGGTAGATGGGTTGAAGAATCCGACTTACAAAACCTTAAGTACCTACAAGCTATTGTTAAGGAAACTCACCGACTTTACCCGCCCGCTCCTCTTACAGGTCACAAATCAAAGAATCTTAATTTTCTTTAAATTTCTTATTACATGACCTTATTAATCTTGTAAATATTAAACCCATTTGGTTATATAAAATGATGAATGATCAGGAATCCGTGAAGCACGGGAAGATTGTTTCGTGGGAGGATACCGTGTTAAGAAAGGCACACGCTTGCTCGCCAACATTTGGAAACTTCATAGGGATCCCAAGATCTGGCCTGACCCCCAAGCCTTTGAGCCTGAGAGGTTCATGGAGGAGAAATCACAATGTGAAAAGAGCGACTTTGGATACATTCCTTTCGGTTCGGGAAGAAGGTCGTGTCCGGGGGTCAATCTTGGTCTAAGAGTTGTACACTTCGTGTTGGCTCGAATGCTTCAAGGCTTTGAGTTACGCAAAGTGTCTGATGAACCAGTGGATATGGCTGAAGGGCCTGGTTTAGCCTTGCCAAAGATTAACCCGGTCGAAGTTGTTGTAATGCCTCGACTCGAACCGGAATTGTATAGTTCACTCTGAATTAAACCATTGTGTACTCGATAATTATTTGGAGATTCTTGTGATCACCCCTTTGTCGATAAGTTAAAAAACAATTTGGGAAAGGACAGCAGAGACGACATAAGGTTGTCTCTACAACCAACCAAGCAAAAAAAAGAAAAATGTACGTTGAAAATATGATGATTTCAATATATTGAAATGATTGAGGTACAATAGTTTATACAAAAAATTACATAGGAAACTACAAATAGAATAGATCTACAATTTCTTCTTAAAACGATTGAGAGATATTATGGACTATAATTGGTACTTAAGAAGAATACATAATACGTTGACTCAAAGTGTATGAAGGTCAATGTTTGACACAAGGAGAGCTGAATAAGGAACGATATCGATGTTATAAAATAGGGATTATTTTCCTTTCTACCACATTTTGGTGGGTCCCTTACTGAATCTACTACTTTCTCAAAATCTTTTCTAAACTACCAGATTTGTGTGGTAGGAGGACACGGTGTGACGAAATTGCCCTTCTCTTTGTTTTGAAGAGAAAACGATGGCGTCAGAAACGAGACCTGATGTAATGATGGCAAAGTAAAAATTGACTTTGCTTTTGAATAATCTTTTTCTAAATATTTATTTGACCAACACAAAAAAAATTACGTAAGTTGAAACATATTTTGTATTTGCTATACATACGAAAGTTGTGGACAACATTTATTAACAAAACTATGTCATCATTACAAATTAAGAAAATGGACAAGATTATGTAACAAAACAGAAATATAATCAACAAGGACCATAACATATATGATGCGTGGACCAAAAAATATAATGGACAAAAAAACATACAATTTTGACTAGTCACATACGACCTAAGTCATCTTATCTTAATTTTGTCCATTGAAACTAAAAATTTCAGCCCTTCTGTCGACGATCCTATTCCTAGAATTCATCTTTTCCACCTATAGACAAAATTAGAGCATCATTGTTAATAATTGGTCCACGAATTCAAAGATACAATATATTCATGAAAACATCAAAATTCAAAGATCTAAGTTTTCCAATGAAAGATTACTAGATCTTAGGATGTAAAGAAGTGGAAGAAGACAACGAGAAGATCTTGACTTACTAATAGCGACAACGGCGTTGACGAAATTTGATGGTGATATCTTAGTCAATTAAACCATATCACGGCGGCGACGTTAAGGAGCTCCGCCGGTGACATCGTAGTCAACGGAACCACATCTCTTATCTTCTTTTCCGTTCTTCTAGATTTGAGTTGGACATATATTGAAGAGTGTGAGAGAGAAGATGGAGGAAGAAGATAGCAACGAAAGAAGAAAAGAAGAAAATGAATTAATAAAAAAAAATCATACTTTTGTTTATGTGGATGGTAAAATGGACTTTTCCATTTACAGAAAGTGGTATAGAAGAAGAGAAATGAGAAAAGTGGTATTTTTGCTAAGAGCATGTACTGTGTATGGTAGAAACGTTAGTTTTCTCTATAAAATATAACGCAAATATATATATTATTATTATATGATATGTGTATGAGCAATAATTAAAAGAGATGGAAAACGTAGAGAGGAAGAGCAAGTGGAACAATGACTCAACTTCTCTCTCATTCTTATTACCAATCCTTCGTACAAAGCAACATATATATAGGGGAATAAAAACTTGGTGATCAAGCTACTTCCATGCTAAGTAAACAATAGATAAGAGAGGAAGTGGATAATGATCCGTAATGGATAATTACCATTTTATAACACACCCCCTTAATTATCTATTACCATCAACGTATTGCGTATTACCTCATTAAAAACCTTATCATGGCAAAACCGTATAGGATAAAAACCATGATAAAGGAAAAGAGTACAATAACACAATCTCCCCCTGGAACAGACGAACCTTGTTCTCTTCATAGCTTTCGTAGATGATACATTTCGAGTATTCTCTTTGCTTCTTCTGATCTCGTCAATGTATGACAAAGATTTTTGAAGAGAGATAGACCTTCACTTTGATGTCTATCTTTTGCGTGTTATTTGCTGCCTCGTTAAAAACCTTGTCATGGAAAGACCCAGAGGGATAAAAACCATGATAAGGGAAAAAAGAGTGCAGCCACGCTCATCATCATATGTTTCCCCCTGGAAGCATCATCTTCAAAAGATGCATTTTGAATGACGTAGCTGGAAGCGCCTACATTGTTACTTGGCTGGATGTACCGGACATCAACTTCTTGCATCTTCTCAGATTCTTGAGTGCAATAGAAGAATCTTGGAGATATATGTCTTGTCATCTCGCTCTTGACATAGCTTCCTTTAAATTGGGAAACATTTGCAACAATGTCTTGTTGTTGGCTCTTCACTGGTGACTATATTGCTTGCTTCTTGTATATGTTGAGGGCATCAATCTGAGCCATACATATTTTCGACGTGCTTCATGGAGCGCATTAACTTTGGTATGGCTTAAACAAGCGACGACCAAAATTTGTTGTTGGAAATGCCACGAAGTTGTTGTTTTGCGATATAGATTTATATAGATCTGATATAGATCCTCCATCTGCAAAATCAACTAAACCAAACTCGGAGTTTTCTAGAATAAAATAAACCCAAGTCAATCGTACCTTGCAGATAATAGAGATACGTTTTAACTCATCTCAATGTCTAGTCTTAGGAGATGAGTTAATCCTGCAAGTAGATAAGAAGCAAATGCTAGGTACAATATACAAAATATATAAATGCTGACAAGCATTTATATATAGTGCTTCATGATCAAATATATAGAGTCGACTTCCTTTAGAAGTGACTAATATAACATCTCTTTCTTTGGATGTTTAGTTGGAATATTTGGAGACACTTTTGTCTTTCCAAGATCTTTTATTCCAAATAACTCTCAAGAGTTTTGATG